TTTAGGCTAACTGTATAGTTCACAGATTTCTTGTGGGCCTTACAGACATTTCTGAAATACAATGTACCCATTGCCACTTGTCAAATTTTGGTGTAACAGTAAAAATGAATATATACAACTCCTCAAAAAGCTATTAAAATACCTACTTTTTCCAACTATATATCTATGTGAAACTGGATTATCTTCACATACCACAACAATCACAACAGACTTGAAAGCAGAAGCAAAATCCAGCTATCTTCTAGTAGGCCAGAAATTACATGATTTGTAAAACTATAGAACTAGAGGCCCAGTGCACAAAATTTATGCACTGGTAGGGTCCCTTCCTGTGGCAGGCCCTGTCCACTGTCGAATTCCCAACCGACCTCCCGGTTGAGGGGACAATTTGCATACTACGATTTTATTACATAAGGATGCCACTAGTTTCACTAAAGTTTTTGTTTTAGAAGAGTTATTCTAAGTTTTAAAAATTGTTAATGTTATTTTTATATAAATTAATATTTTGTGATTTCATTTCTAATATAGTAAATATCAATAGACACAACCCATATAAACAAATCTCTTTGGAGTCCTCAATAATTTTTGAGAGTAAAGAAGTACTGAGATGCCCTAAGTGGTTAGCAAACTCATTAGTCAACAGAGCCAAATATCAACAGTACAACAATTGAAATTTCTTTTGAGAGCCACATTTTTTAAACTTAAACTTCTTCTAATGACACTTCTTCAAAATAGACTCGCCCAGGCCATGATATTTTGTGTAAGAGCAACACTCAAGGGGCCAAAGAGCCACGTGTGGCTCGCGAGCCTCAGTTTGCCAACCATGGCCTAACCAGTTTGGCTTGGTGGATAGAGCATTGGCCTGCAGACTGAAGGAAGGGTCCCAGGTTTGATTCTGGTCAAGGGCATGTACCTTGGTTGCAGGCACATCCCCAGTAGAAGGTGTGTAGGAGGCAGCTGATTGATGTTTCTCTCCTATCAGATATTTCTTACTCTCTATCTCTGTCCCTTCCTCTCTTAAAAAAAAAAAGAAAAGAAAAAAGGAAATAGTACTTAGACCAAATAGCCTAAAGCAAGCCTACTTTCTCAGGGGCAGATTCCCAAACTTCTAAATATCCTAAGTTTTCTATCTCTCTCCTCTAATACATAAATGTGCCTCTGAAACTGTCTCCATCTTTTTAAAAAAATATATTTTATTGATATTTTACAGAGAGGAAGAGAGAGGGATAGAGAATTAGAAACATCAATGAGAGAGAATCATCGATCAGCTGCCTCTTGCACACCCCCTACTGGGGATGTGCCCGCAACCAAGGTACATGCCCTTGACCAGAATCGAACCTGGGACCTTTCAGTCCGCAGGCCGACGCTCTATCCACTGAGCCAAATCGGTTTCAGCCTGTCTCCATTTTCATACCTGGGAATTCATATATGCAATTCCTGTTGATATTAGTGAAACGTGAGACTACAACTTCAAGATAAATATAAAGCCCTAGAGAGGATTAACACCAATTTAACTTGCATGCTAGTTGGTAAAAAAGAAATATACCTACCTACAGCACATCCATGAGCTAGAATCCTTAAATACACAACCCTATCATCTTTCAGTTAGTGACTTCAAGAAATTAAAGGGCCATCTGGTACACCTTTACTTTTAACATCTCCCTACAGATATTGTCATCTGGAATCAAATACTTTAATTCTTCTAGTTAAGGGATGCAGTCTGTAAATATGTAAACAGAAAGCAACAGTTTAAATTATGCTGTGATATCTTTTTAACCAAACTATTTTCACTATTTACATAAAACTAAAGCAATCTATTCATATCTGGTAAGATGGAACAAAAAATATAAGTCTTTGTATAATTATTAATTTGACTCTTAGCAATAATCCATTCAAAAGTACCTACGTACTGATATGCAAACAAAAACAAAAACCAGCTGCTCATCTAGCCAATATGACACTAAGTTTTGAGACTTCAACAAAGTAAAACTGACCTTTACTAGAAAATGTACTTAAATTATTAATTTCCCACCTCCTTAATCACACAATTATTAAAAGATTAAACAGAACAGAGATCACAGGTTTAAAAGATCCAACATGAAATCAGTAACTACAGAACTTCAAGATTGATTAAAAAAAAAAAAAGTCTTGGGATTTGGGGATTCTCAAGGACAAAAAATCTACACTATATTACACATATTTCTAAATTCTAAAAAATTCTTAAGTCTTATAATACAGAGCATTAAAAATAATCACCTTATAATCTTTAGGTTTCAAATATATCAAAACTTCAAAATAATTTTTACAACTACTTACATCTTTACATCTTTGAAAATAGCTCATTTTCAAAGTTAAGTGTGCTTCAAGTTCAACATATAAATAACCTTTATATGTGTAAATATTCACATGTGCATCTCTTTTAAGTTTTTTAAATTTCATATTATAAATTACATTAAATTGGCTCGATTTTTCAAGAAATAAGGTTTGTCCTCTCCACAGATATATATTCAAGTTCCATTTATAGTAATTTTTACCAGCAGTCACCAGAAGTCAAAAGTTCTCTCAATTAACATTAATGTAAACAACATACTAAAAGTATACCTGGGAAAGATGCTAAACACTTGTTAAAAACTGAAATCCAACTCAGTAGAAAACATCTCCATCTTGAAACCTGTGTCTTAATATGTACAATTCCTGTTAGCATTAAGTGAAAGCTCAGACTTTAGCTTCAAGATGAATATATAACCTTAGGAGAAATAACATAGTTTTAACTCACATGTCAGTTGGTAAAAAAGAAATATACCATTGTGACCATACAGTTACTTCAGGTGAAGTATAACTTTCACAAAAACATGTCCTGTTATTTCATTAATTATAGAGAGACTCACTAGTTTGTTACATAAAAATGATAATCTAAACCACTGGGAAAATTCTGGTTATTTGGAAGTTCAAACTAAATTATTCCAACCCTCAAGATTTTCAAACATCAGGAAAAGTGCAGAATAATAGAGAAGTTTTTGAAACTGAAGTTGAAGCAACCTCAAAAACCCACAACCTCGATTTTGCAGCCCCCAAATTACTAATACTGATAACAGGTGTTACAGATAAACAATTCAACACTGTATCCTAAGTATCTAATACAGCACCTAGCTTACAAAAATGATTCAACAAATATCTGAGAAATGAATGGCTGCATGAAAAAAGGTAAAGTCTTTAAAAAAAAAAAAAGGAGTCTTTCCCAAAACCATAATTTACGATCACTCATTAAACTATCATTCATAACATTATCGGTAAGCATCTTAATGAAACTACAGACAAAAGTAAAAGCTGGAAGAACTAACTGCTCTATTTACAAAATAGATTTTAAAATATTCATTTACAAATTTTCAAATGCAAAAAAAAAAATCGTAATCTGAGCTAGTCAATAAATACATTTTATCTTCTAATAATCAGAACTCAGTGTTGGGGGTGAAATGGAAAGAGGAAAATGTCTGTCAATGTATTCAGCATGTTTAATGGATGCCATAAATCAAACCTTACCATGAATTTTCTAGAGCAAATTCATGCCAATCTTTGAGCCTATTGTCACTTTCACACATGCTTGCAGGAGCAAAATGACAAAGAATGCTCTGCCGGAACCGGTGGATTCAGGGCACAAAACACTTGATTAACAATTGTCAAGGCTTTTAGTAAAAAACTGAAAATATTTTCTCAATAAATCAATCCCACCGATTCCTACATAAATCAAAGCTCTAGGTTTCTTTAAATGATTCATTAGACTATTGGACTGTCAGACGGTTGTTTGGGGTGTGTGTGTGTGTGTGTGTGTGTGTGTGTGTGTATGGTTGTGTGTGTTTCAAAGGTGGCTACAATCTCCTTGTGTGACACAACTGGGAATGAACAACCCATTTCCCAACTGCCGGTGAGTACCGGCTCAACGTTTTCCAGACAAAAGAGCCTCAAACGCGATTCCATGCACCTTTATTGCTTTCCCCCATAAATGCGTGTCCTCCCCAATTTCATTCTATGTGGGGTTATACTTAAAGTTAAATTACAGCAAGTTGAAATTTCAGGCAAAAGACACGTCAGTGTCTTACGAGCTGGGTAACTTCTACATCTGGCGGCAGCACACTTGCATGCAAGAAGCCAAAAACTTAAGAAAACAATTGTAACCGATCGGGTTGCGCGTTGCAGTAACCTTTATGCAGATATTATTTCCCACAAAACCCGCGACCCTGTCAAGAGCAGCACAGCCTACTTGCAGCAACGAGATAACGTGCAAACCACCGGGAGGTGACGGCGAAGGAAAAGTTGCAACCATCCGAAGGGGTGGTGTTCAAAGCCTATGCTCCCCCCCCCCCCCCCACACACACACACACGTCTCTCCTTTCAATGGCTCCGGGGAGCCAGGCAAGGGATCAAAGTCGGCTTTGATAATGCCAGCGGCGCTCCTCGGAGAGGGCAGAGACCCTGCCAACGAGGGCCATCCTCCGGGTCCCGAGGAGCAGCAGCGGCGGCGGCGGCGGCAGAGCGGGGCGCGGGGACCGCCTCTGGGGGAGGAGTGCGCGAGGGAAGGGGAGGGGGCTCGGGGGATGAATGCTTCCTCGGGAGAGAAAACCCACCAGAGACCGGAGGCCAGGAGGTTAAGAGGGCTGAGTGTTACTAGCAAATGGAGCAGAAAGGGGCTCGCGTCCGGGGTGGGTGGAGGCTCCCCACCCTGGAGGGCTGGCTCCGAAGGAGCCCGGGCGAGTGTGCGCGCCGCGCCCCGTCCCCTCCAGCCCGGCGCACAGCCCCTCGCCCGGCCCCTCCGCCACCCGCGAACCACCACCACCACCACCCACCGCCCGCGCTCCACCTCCCTCCCCGGAGCCCGCGGCCGGCCTCGCGGCCACCTCGCCACCATCCCCCACCCCGGGGTCGAGGGGAGGAGAGCGGGGGGCGCGGGGGTCCCCCCGGCGCGCGAGGGGAGGCCCTGGAGCGGGCGCGGGCGCCGCGGCACTCACCTTCCCTGGGCCTCCCGGATGGCGGCGTGTGATTCAGCAGGGACCTGGCCGCCGCCGCCGCCGCCGAGCCCGGGGTTGGAGACGTGGAGAGCTGGGACCAAGATGGCGGCCCCTCCAAACTTCCACTGCTACTTTGGACACTCATCAAGCTACTTTCTGGGAACCCGGCTCCCCTCCTGCGACGGCGGCGGCGGCGGCGGCGGCAACGGCACCGGCAGCACCCGCCTCCGTCATGGCGGGGGCCGCGCTGAGGGCGAGCGGGAGGAGAGCGAGGGCAGGGAGGGGAGAGGCGGCGAGGGGATGGGGGAAGGAAGCCGCGGAGGGGGGAGGTGGAGAGGGAAGAGGTGAGGGGAGGAGAGGGGACGGGGAGGAGGAGGAGGGAAGGGGGGAGAAGCGAGGGAGCTGGCGGGCGCGCCGGGGAAGAGGCGGAGGGAGAGAGCGCGGCGGCGGAGGCGTCGAGGGGGCGTCCGCCGAGGCCGGCGTCGGAGTCGGAGTCGGAGCGCGGGCTGCTCGGGGCGCGGAGACTTCCGCCGGCGGAACCTGCCGGCACCTCTGCAGTGCGGCGGCCCCCGGCGGCGCCCGGGCGGCGGCGGCGGGCTGTGGGTGGCGGCTGAGGCGGCGGGGCAACCTCTGCATCAGTTACAGGCGGCGGCGGCGGCGGCAGCGGCGTCACGCGCCGCCTGTGCAAACACTATCGCGAGGCTCCTGCGCCTCCGGTAGCGGCGGCGGCGGCCGCGGGAGCGGGAGCGGGAGCGGGCGTGGGGGAGGGACGTGCCAGGGGGTGGGGGCGGCGTGGGGAGGAGGGAGCGCGCGAGGGGAGCGATGCGGGCGCCCCTGGCGCACCCGCGGCGCGGGAGCCCCCGGCCGGCGGACTCCCGGGCGCCGGGCCACCTCCCCGCGCCGGCCGGAGGGAGGCGCGCCCCGCACGCTCCCCGCCGCGCCGGCCCGGCTCCCGCTGCCACCTGACTCCGCCGCCGCCGCCGCCGCGGCAGCGCGCCTGCAGCCGACCCACACCCTGCCCTGCCCGGGAGCTGCTGCCGCTCCTCTCGCCGGGCGGGCAGCTGTCAGAGGGCGACGTGATCCTTTCTCAAAATGGAACTGAAAAGTTGCGAGTTGCTTCTTTCCTACCCATCTGTACTGTGCAAAAAAAAAAACAAAAAAAAAAAACAAACAAAAAAAAAAACCCACGAACAAAACATGCGTCTCCCCGTCTGCAGAACGAGAGTCCTTATCGAAAGAAAGAAAAAAAAAAGCTTAAGAAAAGTGTGGAAATAAAAATAAAAACTTTTGTTTTCTGAAATAGAATCTTTTCCGGCGTGGTGCACCGTAGGTGTGGTATAGCACTTATTTTAAAGCAATAAATGGAAAATCTGAATAGACGAATTTGATCGCTGAATTCATATATTTAAAGGAACTGCCCAATGTTCATCTTGTAGAAAAGGGCATGGTTTCTAGAAAGTTCCGGTTCGTTTCCAGTGCCGCTGCTGAGTCCCGACTACAAAACCCCAAGGCAAAAATAACAGCATTTGCTTGCTTTTATACAGTGTAGCTTTCTGCACACCCACGTACGTCCAAGACACACCAGAGCCTGGGCATCTTGTACATAAAAGAGCAGTCCTAATTGTTCAGGAAAAATACAACAAGGTTATTGCTCTCTTGAAAAAAAAAAACCAACTTGAAGAGAACAAAAAGATAATGCTGCAAAGCAACCGTACAGGCATGAGGAAATGGCAAGATTACAGGGGGCAGGGGAGGGGGGGTGGATAAAAGTGTCATTTCTTATTTTTATGACTTTGCATTTCTCACAGTAATGTTCTGTTCAGATAAACTATCATACTAGAATAGAACCTTGGTTGTCACTTGTCTGCAGAAGTCATTTTAGTTTTCTTAGGCTTCAGATTCTTCAGCGAGTTTCTAGTCTTCTGTTTTTCAAACTTACTAGATAGGTCTCACAAATTAAATTTTAGGGAGATTTAATTGACATACGTAAGCTGCACGAATTTAAAATGTACAATTTGATGAGTTTTGATGTCTACACACTCCTGAAACTTTCTATAATCAAGCTAATGAGTGTATCCATCAGCCTCCAAAGTTTCCTATACCATTTTAAAAAATATATAGTTTTATTGATTTCAGAGAGGAAGGGAGAGAGAGAAACATAAGTGATGAGAATCATTGATCAGCTGCCTCCTGCACGCCCTCCACTGGGGATAGAGCCCACAACCCGAGCATGTGCCCTTGACTGGAATAGAACTTGGGACTCCACAGGCCAAAGCTGTATCCACAGAGCCAAACCAGCTAGGGCCCTATACTCTTGTAAGGATCCCCTTCCACTCCACTCTCATTCCCAAGTAACCACAGATCTGCTTTCTGTCACTTAGATTAGTTTGCATTTTCCAGAATTTTAGATAAGTGGAATCATACAATTTATACTCTTTTACTCAACATAATTATTTTGAGATTCATCTACATTGCTGTATTTATCACTAATTCATTTCTTTTTATTGCTGAATATCCCATTGTGTGAATATACCACACTTTACTTACCCATTCACCTTGGATGGACATTTGTGTTGTTTCCACTTTTTTGACTATTGCATGCTTTCTCTTGAGTACATCCGTAGAACCTGACCATTAGATTTTTTGTTTTTTACCCTAGTACATGCATTAGAAGGGGAAACAGTTTCTATAACAACATGTAGGTAAATGTATGTAAATATACTCTTTCTGTATTTTAAGACTTAGCTTAGTCAGCTGATTGTGGTGAAAAGATCACAGACAGGAAGGAAGTTAAGAGATCTGGGTAATTGTCTCAGTAGGTCACAATCCTTGGTTCAAAACAGAAGTAAAGAAGTTTTAGGTGTTCCCTAAGACTCCTAGCAATTCCAAGATCTAAACAAAGCTCGGCTCCTCTCACCACACAGGTGGTGGGTGTTCTTCCTCCCAACTCTTCCCATAGCCTCTGGTTACCTTTATACAAATCTGGGTTATTTTGTAATGCAGACTGACTCCTTTTATTTTAACTGGTAACTAGAGGATCACAGCATATACTTAATCCAATTACTTTAGCTATACTTTTGTTATGAAGGCTGCTGAGGAAGGACAATTAAGTGATCGATTCTGGCTTTCTTGTAGCTTAAGATAAAGATAGTCAACACTTAACTTACTTAGCAACAGGGAACTAATTAAATAAATCGTGTGTGGCTTACCCTGAAAATGAAATGTCATGCCATCATTTAAAATCATGTCTTCAAAGAAAACTGAAAAAGATAAAATTTTCACACAATAGTAAATGAAAAAAAAAATGGGTATGATCCCAATTTGTTAGTATACATAACAAATGACTACATGAATGCAACTCAAAAAGTTAATAATGGCTCTTTGTGAATTGTCAAATCAACTCATTATTCTTTCTTCCTGTATGCTTTAAAAGTTTTTGTACAATGAATCTTGTATTTTTCTTTTTAAGACTTTTTTATTGATTTTTTAAATTATCATTATTTTGGAGAGAGAGAGGAAGGGAGAGGGAGAAAAAATTGAAAGGCTGCCTTCTGCATGTTCCCTACCGGGGATCCAGCCCAAAAACCCAGAATCAAACCTGCAACCTTTCAGTGCACAGATGACACCCAACCAAGTCATGCCAGCCAGGGCAAGTCCTGTATATCTTAAGTAAATTTAAGTTTTAAAAGGGCCTGAACACAAATTGTGTGAATCCGTAATTTTATAAAATGATTAATGAAAATTGAAGTGGTAAGTAGAGGCTCCCCCACACTGGGCACATTCAAAAAACACTTGTTAGAGTGATAGCTTGCACAATGGGAAAAGATACAGAAAAGTCAGGAGAGCTCTGATTCTGAAAGGAAGGAACCCTTGCCACTCTGTGATGAAGGAGAAATCTCAAGAAAAGATGATTGGAAAGGGGTTGTGGCAAGCTTTCTTGGGGGGAACTATTCCCAGAAAGAAAGTCAGCATGAAAACACAGGAGTGAACTGAGCAAGTGAAAGGAGAGAGAATGCAGTAAACTTGCCTCGAAAGAACTGAGGAGAGGAAAGTGTTCGTTCTTTTTGTGAATCGAGTGCTCCATGATGACAGGGACTCAGGCCCTAGTACAGTATGGCAGAAACCGAGGGCTCTGTCAATGTTTGTGGAATGAATGAATGAATGAATGAATGAGGAGGATTACTGAGCTAAGATGCAGGTGAGAGACAATGCAGAAGAGATCTTCAAGTGTCTCCATGTAGAAGGTCATATGCAAAAGGGGAGCTATGAGCCCTGATCTGTAGATAAATCATCATAATTTACAACTATGTTTATTAGGCTCTTTTCTATTTATATACCTTGGTAGAAACATTTACCAAGCACCCAATATTATAAATATAACAGATGTCTTTTATACCTCTTAGCGTTTGATTCCTTCTACATTTAAGGAAATAATGCCTAAGCCCCTTCCCCATAAACCAGCCAGAAGTGAGCCCAGAGACTGAACGAAGTGTCCTTTCTAAGTCCTCCCCCATACCGTGGAATGCTGGAGTCAGTCCATACTGCCCAGAGAGCAGATTGTGTACATTTCTCCCAACTCAGTTCAATGATGTCATAGTGGTAGTTTAAAACTGGCCATAATAAGTTTATTTATGGCTCCAAAGTCAATAAAAGCTACAAATCCAGGCTTCCTCACCACCACACCACTGTTCCCATAGACAAAGATCATTACCTTATTAATCTCCACTTCTCCATCTTGGCTAAACCTGAGGAGAGCAAGGATCTATCATGTTTTCAGTTGTATTCCCAACATCTAGCTCCTGCCTGTAAACAGTCAGAGCCAAATACATATTTGTTGAACCAATCAATTAACCACATAGCTAGTTAGCAAGCACTTGAGGCCCCTGAGCTAACCTGCGGGTAAATAACTGGGTAGGCCACTCTAGCAGAGGAAGAAAGGACCAAACACTCTACCCCCTCACTCTGATGCTTCATTGCCCAAGATTTGTGAGTTGGTAAAGTTTATTGACCTTGTTAGACTTGCCAGATGAAATATAAATTTTTAAAAAAATATATTTTATTGATTTTTGTACAGAGAGGAAGGGAGAGAGATAGAGAGTTAGAAACATCAATGAGAGAGAGTCATCAATCAGCTGCCTCTTGCAC